ATATATATATATATATATATATATATATATATATATATATATATATATATATATATATATATATATATGTATAATATATAATGTATATATATATACATATGTATATATGTAATATAGTATTACTTTAATATAATATAACCAAAACTAATTGTTTATAGTTTGAAATTAATTATGACGAAATTTTAACCCATTTTATTTATATTTTTTTTGTTAATACTTATAAAATTAATTGGTTCTGATTTTATTTACTTTTTTTAATAATATAATACTTCCATTGTCCACTAGTTACTTAATGTCATCCACTTTGTTAAATTGATTATCATTTTTTATCATTTTCTGCTTATCATTTCTTCCTTGGTTTTTATTATTTCTTTTTTGCTTATCTTTTTTTCTCCTTACTTATGGCTCAAAATCAAGTAAGTATTATTCTGATTATAATATCCTATTTTGGTATTTTTGTTCCTGATAATTTGTTCATATCAATTTTCTTCTTAACCTTTATTCTCATGATGGTTTTTTAGAAACAGTTCTACTCTCATTATCGATCACAGTAGTGACCTTGTAATCGTCAGGATTTTATCCATTATTTACTCATGCCAATCCTTACGTGAAACATTTCGTTTGTCCTGTTCAATGTATTTCCGTCTTTATCCATGCATTTGAATTATATTCCATTTTCAGATTAATATTTGAAATCGAACTTGATGGACGAGAATAGGAATGAGATCGAATTGCTCCGTATTGAAAACAAAGATCTGACGGCAAAGCTCGAAACATTGAAGTAATTTAATATACGTGCTATTGTTTCATTAGTAATATTTCAGTTTGATTCTTAAGATGGGATTTTATGCTTTTGTTTTTCTTTGGAAGATCATGAAAAAATAGACATGAAATAACATGATTAATTAACGTAAGCGAACATAAGTAATTCCCTATACGCAAGTCAGAATTTCATGTAGTTAAAACTTTCCCTTGTCCTGAAATTAGAATTTCAATTTTTCTAAATCCTCCCGCACTTTTGCATCTAGGTCGTGGTTTATATCAGTAAATATTCTTGATTTAAAATTTTACATTACAAACTAAATTCGCATAATTCGTTTGATAAGTTTCAAATTTTAAAGGCAGAAACGAAAAGATGATTATCCGAAACTTACGGAATATGAAAGAAATGTTGCTGAATTGGAAGCATTACGTGAATTCAAAATTAAATTAGTTGAAAGCAATTCAAAATTACAACGGCGATTGCAGGAAAAGGAAAAGGTAATGCTCTACATATTTAGGCAAGCGGTACATTACTCGAATTGTTATTATTCTTTTAAAATTAATCCCCTAAAAATCTAGCCAGGATATTTTCTTGCGGTGTGAAATGATAATAGTCAAGTAATTTTCAAGAAATACCTTAGAAATTTCAGTTTCATTTAAATCAGCGGTGAATCCAAAATTTGATACATCAGCTTGAACTGGAGTGTATAAGAAATAAGAATTGAGAAAGGAAGGATCCATTAACTAAATCCAAATTTCTGAATTTCTGTTAGTGTTATTGAAAATTTACAGGTTTTATGCTTCTTATATAATTTAATTATTTCTACTGTTTTATTACTTGCTTTACATTTGAACCCTAAATGGTAAAGAAAAGTAATTATAGGTCTTCTTATTTCTTTTTATTGAATATTTCTCGAAAAATTCAAGGTGCAAGCTTCATTTAGGAATTAGTTGAACTGACAAAAATAGATCAGGAAAAGCTTGAACGTTTATCTGAACTTGAAGAACAACTGGAAATGGCAACAATTGAGAAGGAATTGGCTGAAGAGAAGGCTGAACTTCTGGAAGTTTGTTTGCTAATGAAATAAATGTTTGTTTGCTAGTTTGAGAATTAAAGTTGACTGCAGATCTCCAATAAATGCTTGTATTCAATTGTAAATTCGTAGCGAAACTATGCTGTCTTTAAAAAAAGGTAATCCTTGAAGGCCGATATTGAAACCGAGAAGCAGCGTGTACAAGAACTGGAAATAGAATTGGACTTATCTCGAAGTGAAATTCAACTAAGAGAAAACGATATATCACAGGTTTGGTTCTTCCATCGTGAACCGTTACTGCATTTGATGAATGCTATAACGAAGTATGAGCTTATTATTCACTAACAAACTTAAATTGAATTGTTAACTAAAATTCTCGGAATTTCGTATTCTTTTGCTAGGATTCGCAGTGTTAAAAGAAAGAGGGTTGGAAAATTAAGCAAATTCAGAATGCACTGTTCGTTTCAAGGTCAGTACTCTAGAAATGGATGTTTTGTTAAAGGATGATGGAATTCAATTCAAAATGTTGGAATGTCAAAATATGAAATTACGAGAAGCAGTAGTAAGGTAGGCTTGATCGAAGTTTCGAGTTTATTTAATCAGTTCCATCGATTCGGCATTTAGCTTATGTTATGGTTATTTGAGAATTCTGGATTCTTACAGATTTTGTATATTTACTCAGACTTTATCAGGAGTATATTACTGTTTAGAATGCGCGATGCTATCGGTCAGTTAGCAGAAGATAAACGAGAATTGACTCAAAAGAATGAAACGCTGAAGAATGAATCTACTGCATTAGTGACAGTTTGTGAAAATTTGAAAAATAAACTTCAGAAAGCCGAGCGGACAATACTTATTCTAAGAGAGCGGGTTAGTAGGATGTGATTTTTTTAATTTTATGGTAATTTTCACCATGTTTTGGGTCATCTCATATATTTTGTGTGTCCTTCGGGAAATTTTGTTTATAATTTTTACGAATTGTTGCAGTTGTTTGATATAAGTGAAAGGGTAAGTGTGCATGTCGTTTTTTTTTATTTTCAGATCACTAGCAATTCGTTCTAAAATCCATTTTTTTGTTGGTTTCTTTTTTTTTTGCTTCAGCACATCGATTGTGATGTTCAGCTGACTATGCTTTTGTTTTTGTAATATTTAGGAAACTGTTGTTATCAGTGCATGGATAATTATATTCGTTTTAGGCTATGATATATTGATGTGTAAGATGTATGCTTATTGTGAAATTTGCTTTTCAGATTGATGCAACAGCGGACAGTGAGAAAATAATCGAGATTTTGACAGTCAAAAATATGGATCTGGAAAAAAAGCTAAGGTTAGCAAGCTGGAATTAGTCTCTCTGGACTTTTTTTATCAGAAAGTTATCGTTTCTCAGAATCGAAAGTTGTGCTTCGCGTACTGGTTTTGAATTCACTGATCTATTTTATTTGCTGCTAAAAAATAAAGACTCAGGAAAATTTGCAGTACCCTAGAAGAAACGGTTGAAGATTATGAGGCAATCAGATCGATGGATGAGGAAATTCTTGAAACACAAAGAGAATCTGAAAAGGAACTTAGAGAGGAATTGGATTTGACAAATAGTCGGATTAGTAATGTGAGTTATGACAATGAGTAATTTCCAGTAATTTTTTTCTAATTGCCAATTTTGAGAAACTTAAGCAATGAGTATATTTTTTGTTATTCACATTGTAGCTCTTGGTGCAAATCAAAGCATATGGTGAACAGGTGGATGAATACGAAAAAATGATCATGAAATTTCGACAGAAAATTGGTGAAATGAATGAAGAAATTCAGGGGAAGCAAGATGAAGTAAGTTCGAAGTTTCTGTAAACTTAAAATTTGCTCCAAATTCATGAAAACAAGGAGCATATGATAACTGTTCACTGAGCATATTTCAACTACACTTTAATTGCTGATCCATTACATTTGTTTCTTTTTTTTCTTCTTTTTTTCTTTTTGTATGTGTCGGAAAACATTCATCTTTTATTAATCAATATTTTCTCTTCGAGAATTACAAGATTGTTGAAACAGAATATATCTCGTTTTTTATCTCAATTAGACCAGCAAATTTTATCTTCTCTGCTCTCTTGCTAATTCAATTCTTCAAATCATATCCTATTTCCATAGATTTTTCTCATATTGTTATTGGGTTGCATGGAGTCTCGTTTATTACATTATATTTCGTTGTGCTTCGTTGTGTTTTTATAGATTATGTTGTATTTCAGATCATTAACCTGAACAAACAACTGAAAGGAGAGGAGGATAATGACGGAATATCGGCACAAAGTACACATCTTACTACAGCTACCCGAACATTTGCTGAAGTAAAATTTTTGTGTGAATTTAAGTTCTGCAGAAATTTTCTTTTGTTGAATAGTTTTCCAAATTTTGGAAATTTCTGTTGATATTGAAATAATTTCAGATTGTGGATAGAGAGGTGTGTGCTCTGGAATTGAAGTATGAAATTGAACTGTCGAATTACTTGAAAACATTTCTGCCCGATAATTTCACGAAACCAGGAGGTCAGTAGGGATTTAATTGTTTCTTTTTTATTACTTAAAACTCTTGTGATATAAATTTTCGATTTCTTTTAGGAGATGGTGATGCAGTTCTCCTGACCATCCGCTGCTCTCGCCTTTCAGCTAAAATAACTTTACTGGCAAGATTACTAAATCTTAAGGTATCACTAGATATCGCTTGTGCGTGTAGGATATCGACTTATGTAAATCTCTAGTTTATTTTTTTTTCAAATTTTGACAAAACTTTAAACTTGTACATTTTAATAGTACCCATATGCACCTGGCGGACTACGTCGTGAGCACGTTACGAAAAGTCACAAAGCGGAACAGTGGGCACACTGTGCAAAGTTTTCATTTTTCTTGAGCAGTTTCGGCTGTGCTATTCGGCAATGTGAAAGGTAAACTTTCTTATGTTTTGCTAAACGGATCTCCTTTTAGGTTCTGCTTTGAGTAACGTTGGCGCATTTAAAACTCAAAAGTATATGTGAAATTCAGGTCTTTCATCTCCAGTGCATGTCTTGACTAACAAATAATATATTCTGTTATGAGTTAAAATACAGAAAATACGAAAAGTGTTTTAGTATAGTGCATCGATGTACAGTAGAGCGACTGTCACGTATGGCACTACTACAAAATGATATTGGAAAGGAGGAAAGAATGATTGATCAGTGCATTGATTTACTTAGGAGTGATAAGTTCGATGAAAACACTTCGATCGACGGTGTTAATAAAGCAATCAATCATTTAGAGGTTCATTTCCTTCTTGCAATACTAGTCCAAAAATTAAGATAAAAAATTGATTTGAGATCTCAATTTCTGAAAAATTTAATTTTAACAATTTAGAATCATAGTTGAAAATCCTTATGCCTGTTAAAGCATCAAAATTTAAAGTGTACACAGTTTGATGGCAACAGATTCTACCATATGCCTTAGCAGGATATTGTCTCAAAAGTAGAATGACTTTGATATACATATGATAGAAGTGCCACTAAATTCAAGACAATCGGTGTTTTGTAGCGGCTCTTTCCTGTTCATTCCAATCTAATATGGAATGCAAATCTGAATGTCTGGATGATTTTTGGACCGAAATATCAGAGCTGTTGAAAAATTCATGCATTACATCTATAGATATTAAATTCTACTTACTATAATATAATATTATAATATAATATTGGTAACATCTTCTTGAAAATCCGAATGACTCTGGTTCCAGAACTTTTACTGCGAACTTTGAAGCAATATATTTTCCACTGGTAGTAGAATTGCTTGCCAAATATAGCTCAATAGTTACCCGTGTGAAAGATTTGAAACCATTCACTACAATCCATCTGTTAGGTGTGATAAAGTTTTACAGAATATACTGTCTGTTCACTTTTCTCGAGAATGGTATGATGCCAAACAATTATTCCTGGATGCCTGTATGCAACATCTCCAAGGATTATTCTGGGTGAAAATCAATGCGCAGCGTATTATCTTTACTCTTGCAAGTTTTTCTATATTTGATGTTTTCTCTTTCTCAATTAATGATCAGAAATACTGATAAGCATTAAAAGAGGACACTGCTTCATTTATTTTTAATTTTATCTTTAACTTTTATCACTCATCATTTTAGTCGTTTGCTACTGAGAATAATACTAACGAGTATATGAAATCGGTGCTGAAATGGGTGGAGAGATGTGAGCAGCTCTGTATGCGTTTAAAAAATCGTATCTCGATTGGTGAAAACTTTATATTCACTCAAGATGTTTGTTTTTGCGTTATTCTGATCTTGGTTCACGTTCTTTCCGACAAATTCTCACAGATCTTGAAATTATCAACATGTCTTTTTCGTCCATTCACTGTTTTTCCTTCGAGTTATTGGTTCGTTTCAGTTAGAAATTCAACTTACGAATTTGAATACATCGTTCAAAAATGTGGCTTCAATATTTGACAATTTATGCAGTATTACAACTATTCAGTTGAGCACCATCACAGGTCTCTGCTTAGTAGAACTTATGTAACACTTTTAGGTTTCTCTTTTTATCCATGGTCGTTATTAGTTGAATAGAAGAATGAAACTGAAAAAGGATTTGAAGTCGTTTACATCTATAGCTTTGCTGCGAATTTTGCCTTTTTTCTTTTTTTTTTTGTACTTTTGCTGCTGCAAGATTTATTTCCTTGTCGAAGAGACAGATAGTCCGCAGATTTGCAATAAATTGAATTGGAGTGAATTGATTTTGTTCATTTTTAGAAATCATATTTTAGAGGCTGAGAGTTTGGAAGAAAATTGCATTCAAGAAGCTCTTTTGTGTTCTGTGGAAAAAGTGCATGGTCCTTTAAATGGAGCTGAAGCTACAGGAGCTCTGAAGTAAGTTTGCATATAATAGTAAAAACTCTTAAAAATAAGATTAGCGTAGAAAGAACCAACATGTTATAAAACCAATTACTACAACTTCTACAACTTTACATGGTGGAATCTACAACTTCTACAACTTTACATGGTAGAATGAGACAATGCTAATTGCAAAAGTCGAGGTAAAATCCGTAAAATTCATTAATTAATACGAAAAATAAGGGGGAGAAGAACGTGGAGGTCAAAGTTGGCGTATAAAAAAAATGGAAGTAAAATGTTTATTAAGAGTAAAAGTGATTCAAAGAAAAAAAATGAAATGAAAGTGAATCTATAAATGGAAGAATAAAATTTTAAGATTTGAACACTAATCAGTTTTAAAATTTCAGTGAATATATGAGACTCGTACCAAATATTATCACTGATTTGATTGAAAACTTTGATAACGTGAAACTACTCAACAATCCGGTAGATAAGGTTTGTTTATGTCAAGACTTAATCTTTTTTCAATTGTGGAAAATGAATTGCCTAATTAAAATTAATAGATCAACTCTTTGCGTTATTTATGGGTTTCTTGCTCTCTGAAATATTGATTTGATCAAATCATTGCGTGCTTCATGCTTTCCAGTGCTAGAATTACAGGATGGTAATAGTCCTGGAAACTTTCTTACCCTCCCCTGACTTTGCTACTTTGACTTTCAACTTTTCTATTTCTCTTTATATATTGTTTTGAAAAAAACATTTGAGTTTGCAGTCCAAGTACACAGAAAATTTCAGTGTCAGTTTTAACAGAAAAATTTTGATTATTGGAAATGGCTAGTAAACTTTTATTGTGTAACGAAAGTTACTTGTAGTCTTTTTCATCTCCACTTATGGAACGAGCAAATGTTCGAAGACAAGATGCTTTGGAAACGGAGAAACTTCGTTGGAATTTGGAAAAAAGGAAAATGAAATAACGGAATTGAAAATCAATCTTCGAGCCAAGCTTGATGATATTAGTAATTACAAGGTATATTCAACTTTCCTAAAAGGTCGTACTGTTTCCCTCTAGAGGCTATGTTAACGTACTAATCCTATTTCTTATCATGCGAATAGGCTAAGGTATCTAACTGATTTAATTGAATTTAATTCATGTACTCCAGTATCCCAGAATGAAATAAAGTGAATAAAGTTTTACCTTTATTGTGTTTGCTTATATATATTATTCTTTCAGGTACGTTTGGAAATGGCTGAAAGTAAAATAGAATCGATGGGAAAAATTGATGAAACTGAGATGCAGAAATTGCATTTACAAAATGAAGATTTACGTGACCAGTTGAAGAAAGCAAAAATGTAAGTTTCTAGGTTATGAAGATTTTATAATGAAGGAATCTACATAAATCAAATGGATTCGCTAAATCGATGAAATGGCCGACAGATTTTTTGGAATATGGTCATAAAGAGAAGTTCAGATTTATCCATTACGAATAAGTGATCGGATCATGGTTGGGCACGAATAGCTAACCTCTAGATTACAAAGTAGATGTATGTATGCCTTCATATTTTTTGACACTAAGAAATACATAGTTATACTGTAAAAGGTGAATAGAGATTTGGTAGGGAACTGTATCTCTGTTATACTTCGATTCTGTTTCGTTCTAATTTTCTTTATTATTTCTCTTTGCTTCTATTTTCGTATACCTGACAATCACTTTACTAACCCATGCTTCGAAACCGAATTGGAGTTACATGTGTCAACAAAATTTTGTAATTTTACAATTGATTTCATATTGTATATGATATGCTATAAGTGCGTTTCAGTTAATCAGTAGTCTTTGGTAAAGTTCAAATATTATCTTTTAATGAAATAACTCTTTTTTTCACTCATTTAATCTTGCTCTTTTCACTTTTCTACTTTTCTCTTTGTTGCAGAGAATACGAAGATACGTTGGAAACTTTGCAGCATGAAATTGATGTTTGTGAAAAAGAAAATTGTGAATTACGAAACCGTGCCAGAACTATCAGTAAAAAAGTATTAAGTGTATGTATTATATTCACTAAACTTCATCCAATGTTTTAGAAGAGTTTTCTTCCATGCCCTTCTCTCTTGCTTATAGCTGCTTACATTTACTAATTTTACATCATGTTTGTCACTTGGAAAGTCGCATGCAATGATTGTGCAATCGATTTTACTCTGCCTTAACTATATTCTTGTCAAAAAAAATAAGAAATTTACCGATTGTCCATAATTAAGCAGATCTAAAAATGATTTTGTGATTTAGTGGAGAAATCCTTTGTAAGTCGTCTCATCTTATGTTTTGATCCAAACTATTAGATTGTGGTTTTCTTTTTATCAGTTAATAGAGTTATCTTTTAACAGTTGACTGTTCTTTATGATAAGGATATGATTAAAGTAACAAATAACTCTGTAAAGTGCTTGAACAGAAGGGAGAACGAAAATTTTAATATACGTAATGTGAAATATATTAGGGATTGAGATAATAGTGGTATTTTAAAATAAAAACTTCTGTAAAATTATATTACTGTATAATTATAATGCAAAAATTATGAAATTGAGTCCTTTTTTAAGCAACTACAAACCTTGAATTTGGCGATGAATCATCCGAAAATGCAAGGATCAGTCACACCAAACGATTCTAGTCCATCTACTCCTGAACAAACTAACGAATTGGCTTGTCTGGAAAATGAACTTAAAGAAGCAAAAGTAGCATTAGCATGGGCTTGTCAACATATTCGACAATTAAAGGTATTATAAAGTTGTTTTCCTTTTGTTTACCATTCAGTCATTTGTAAATTATGAAATATGCAACGGTGCGAAGAAGTTTGACAGAATGATTTGTGATATTTTTCCTTGTTTTTTTTTTTCAGTTCTTGTTTGGTAAAAATTTAGAAATACAAATTCAATCAAAATGTATAACACAGACAATCTATTGATATTCGTGAAAGGAAACTGATTGCAACGGCTCTATTAAAACTCTCTTACCTGCCATGATCTAGATCAAATAATCTTATCCTTGATATATAATATGTTGACAGTATAATTGAGATAGTGTAGCAGTTTAAATCACTAAATGAATTAAATGACTAACGGTTTAACATTTGATGTGTCATCTTCTTTTCGGAGAAGTTGGATGAGTAATCATGTGTATTTCCTGTAGTTGAAATAACAGTAGATGAAAGTTGATTGACTTTTTGACCATTTGACTATTTTCCATTAACAATTTTAATTTTAAAGTTAAGCAATAATTTATATCATTTTATTTAAGCAGTTACATCTATGGATGATGAAGAATGATCATATTTGGAATGCAGAGTTTATTTCATATTGCATTATGCTATTTTCAACTATAAATTGGATAATCAATAAAATAATTACGGGTAAAGAAGTGGAAATCAGTAGAGTAACTGTAAAAAAAAAGGTGGATTTCCTATGATAATCAGTTATTCGCTTAAAAATTCGCTACTTTAAGGCAAATGAAAGGATGCAAATGTTGAATATGATGGATCCAGTAATAATTCCATCAGATATAAGTGGCCAGTTAACATTACAATCAGTGCAAGTTTCGAAGAAAGACGAATTGGATAAATTATATAGAAGAGCAGAAAATATTTTAACTGTTAGTTTTATTTAAGAAAAATAAATAAATTACCGTTATTTAATATGAATGGTGGAAATTTTTTCGAGTAGTGGGAAGTTTAAATTGTTATATGAGTTTTTAGGATTCACGATTTTATCAAATTCCATATGTTGCTGATATATCACAGTCGAAATCAAAGCGAGATCTGGAGAAAAGGAAGCATCTTGGAAATATTGCCCATATAAATCAACGGATTGCCGACGTAGGTATTTTGAATTCTGAACCTGATTATTTTTTGTTGAACTACTCTAATTCTTTTAATGTAAAGGCGCGATATATTCTTTCAACATAAATAATGCTATGTTTCTCAATCTTGTAATCATTCATTTTCATTGGTATTCATACATCGTGTATTTTGAAGTTAGTGATAGTAATTTCAAGCATTTATCATTTATCATTTACGAGAGTTCTTTAAAAGCTAGTTTTTTTTCCCTTTTTTTTAGTTGACGAAAGTGCATTTTGAATTTTCTAAACTAACAAATATATCACATCTGCATTTATTTTAGCTGGTATATAAAAATGTTCTGTTTTTGTTTACAGCTAAGAATTGACATACATCGATTCTGTACCAGATATTATCAAGGCGGAGGATGGCCGTCACTTTTTGAGAACATTGAAAGTATTACGTCAAATAATCGAAAGGTAGCACGTTTTTAGTTTATGAATGAACTTTTATGACTTTTTGAGAAATAAATGCAAAAAATTTGGAATTTCTTTTTCCTTGATTTCAAAAATGTTTCTTCCTGGTGTTGATTGATGGCCTTATTGGATAATATCTTTTTCTTGAATAGTATTATTTTATCGTAGCATTGTGTGAATAGTTCAAATTTTTAAAATCTTTTGTTATAGAAAGAAGAAAGAAACACTGAAATTGATCGACATAAAGGCGTGCACTCTCTAGCTTACAAAGATGCATTCCAGTCACTGTTTGGTAATTTAAAAACGGAGCAAAAGAGAACTGAATCAATGGAAATTCTTGTATCTGTTTAAGAATTTACTTTAAAATAGTGGTCATTTAAGAAGATGAAATTTTCCAAATAATTCCATTTGTAACTTTATGAAACATACCATATTATAACTTTGTGAAATTTAACATTTTACATAAATAAGACATTTAGATTGTATAACTCTGCAAAATTTAACATGGCTATATATGTAAAACATTTAAATTAGAATTAAGAATGGGATTACTTACAGTCATATATATTTGTATTTAATCCTTGATTTCCGTTTCATGTATGCATTTCTTACATGCATGATAGCTTTCAAAGCTAACTTTTATTTGTATTCAGTATTCTGTTGTCGGATTTTGATCTCTCTCTGTCTATATGTTTCATTTAATTTTTGTCCAAGTATTAGATCACAATGAGAAAGGGTAATTCATAGCTCTGAATGCTTTAATTTAATGGCAAAATTTTTGAGTATCTGGATATTTCAAAAACTTCTTTCTTAAATTTCTTATTTTTGCTTCGAATTTTGCAAGATCTATATATATATATATATATATATATATATATATATATATATATATATA